AGTATGAGAATAGGTTGAAAAGGAGAAATAACTATGGATATAACCAAGAAGGAAAAGGAATCGGTCCCCATTTTCTGATCATCTGTGTTCTTTTGTCATCATTTTGTCTTGATACTGATACTGCTCAAGGCACTACTATTATGAACAGCATGCTAAACTTCACATCAGATAATATATTTTACACTGTTGCTTGCCGGTCCCTACAGAAGTTAATCTTGTAGTCAACAGCCTAGGGATTGAAAAGGAAAAGTACATATTAAAATAATAAAGGAAAAGATTATAGTCTTATGTTTATGTTGCTTGAAGGACAACTGGGAGACTGGTGGAATGAATGAAGAAAAAGTTGATGGAAAGAAGCTCTCTGATCAGCCTTCTTGGCTTCTGCCCCAGGCTGAAAGAGGATGAACTACACTTATAGGATACATAACTATCCTCATAGCTTCTATGGATGGAGCAACATGGTTTCTGAGAATCTCATTCTATATCTCCTGGATGGAAACATCAATCCAAACGAGAATTAAGGAACTACGAAGTCAATTATTTTTCATTCAATCCATTCCTACAGATTCTTATTCACACTTTATCAAGGGATTGGGCTTCGATTTCATGATGTGGTCACTATTTTGCGTTTTGGGGCTCCCTCCTGGAGATACAGTTAACATTTTTATATTTTTATATGTTTTCATAAATGGTGCTATTATCCCATCTACCAAGCATTTTATAATTTTTCAACTTAGTCTCTGATCTAATCTTGACAAAGGTGTTAGGCCTTACATTAACTTCAACATTTCATCAAAAACATTTTTAAAAACCCTGGAATCTGCCAAATTGGCCACCATTACCTGTTTTTAAGCTTAACAACTATTGCCTGGGCTCTAGGGCAGATTTTTTAAAGGGTGTATATATATATATATCACCAGCCGACCATAAACACAATCTTCTCTTTCTTCTCTACTTCAAAACTACTGTTTTCCAACACACATATTTAAAATTAAGAGCAAATAGATGAATTTGTGTACCTTGTTACAATGGCAAAATGAATGAAGATACTTAAAGACTTGCAAATACCAATAGAAGTAGAAATTCTTCTGCCCTTTATGTTATATGGAACCAAGCGGTGGGTTTGCAAGAAAGAAAAGCATGGTTACCACAGAATTAGAAGGAAGATTAGAGGGCATTTAATCAGTATTCCCTATAGCATTTTGAAGAGCTGACCATTTAGCTACTATTAGAAGATCTCTATTGAAGGAAAATGCATTACTTTGCATAGCATCCTGGACCAGTTAGGAAGCTCTTCCTTGTATCCAGCCTGAACTTCCTCAGGATAGCTTGGCAGCCTGGCATTCAGGGAGAAAATGGCCAGGGGGAAAGAGGCATTCCATTGCAGGCACAAAAACTAATTGAAGGAGACCCAGTGGTAAGAAGGAATGAAATGAAATAGATGGACTACAAATTCATCTAGTTGCCTTGATTTCCCCTGTTATGGATATCTTGCAATCATTCACTCCAGTTTCTCTGTCAAACACAGTTCATTGGTCTTTGGTACATTAATTTTCTAGTACGTTAATTTCAGACCTTTGCTTTTCACTGCATCATAAAGTCCTGACAAATCATTTGATTTCTTATCTAACAGCATAACATCCTCAATGTAACATCCTCTGTACATATAAAAGTACATATCATTCACATTTCCAACCATTCCCAACCATGTCATCCCAAGTAATGTTTACATAGTGCATTTATCCACAAATATATTAAACAACTCCTGGCAAATAGATGGGGAAGAAATGGAGGTAGTGACAGATTTTATTTTCCTGGGCTCCAAGATCACTACATGGGGGACTGCAGCCAAGAAATTAAAAGACGCTTGCTCCTGAGGAGGAAAGCTATGGCAACTCTAGATAGCATACTAAATAGCAGAGACATCACCCTGCCAACAAAAGTGCGTATAGTTAGGGCTATGGTTTTCCCAGTTGCAATGTATGGCTGTGAAAGTTGGACCATAAGAAAGGCTGAGCACCAAAGAATTGAGGGCTTTAAACTATGGTGCTGGAGAAGACTCCTGCGAATCCTTGGACTGCAAGGCAATCAGACCGGTCAGTCCTAGAGGAGATCAACCCTGACTGCTCTTCAGAAGGCCAGATCCTAAAGATGAAACTCAAATACTTTGGCCACCTAATGAGAAGGAAGGACTCACTGAAGAAGGGCCTAATGTTGGGAAAGATTGAGGGCAAAAGAAGAATGGGACGACAGAGAATGAGATGGCTGGATGGAGTCACTGAAGCAGTAGGTGTGAGCTTAAATGGATTCCAGAGGATGGTACAGGAAGGCCTGGAGGAACGTTGTCCATGGGGTTGTGATAGGTCGGAGAACCGGTAGCAAAAAACCCTGCCCTCCCTCCATGCCCAGTTGAGTTGCACAATCATCAGAGGCTTTTATTTTTACTTTTAAAAGCATTTTTTTTACAACCTCTTCTGCTTTTAAAAGTAAAAAAAAAAGCCTCTGATGATCGCCCGGCTCAGATGGGATCTTCAAAGTCTTTTAAAAGAAAAAAACTCTTTTTTTCTTTTAAATGCCTCTGATGATCCAAGCGTTGCCTGATCGGCGGAGCCTTTTGAAAGCATTTTTTTACAACCTCTTCGGCGAAAGGCAGTGGCTTTTTAAAATACTCAGCTTGGATCGTCAGAGGCATTTAAAAGAAAAAAAGGGTTTTTTTCTTTTAAATGCCTCTGACGATCCAAGCTGAGTTGCCTGATCGGCAGAGCCTTTTGAAAGCATTTTTTTACAACCTCCAGCGAAGAGGTTGTAGAAAAAAATGGTTTTAAAAGTTAAAAAAAGAAAAAATGGCCACGCCCACCCAGTCACATTACCACCCCGCCCCCACCAAGCCACACTCACAGAACCGGTAGTAACAAATTTTAGATTTCACCACTGGATGCAATATTTACAGACTTGTACAAACACTCCTTAAACCAAATCTCTTTGACATATCACTATCATTCCTTCCAGCACACTGTATTCTCAGTTAGTTTCATCTTTTGATAAAATCTTTTGAGGCTACAGCAAAATCTGAATAATCAATTGTGATGGTAGGAAAGCTAATATGATGACTGTGAATTAGCCAAGCCATTATTTGATGTTTTCTACCTGAGCATTAATAATTTGTTATCACACTAGACCTTGTATCAGCACCAAGGAATATGCAAACAGGCATGGAACTCTATAATCCAAGGCATACTAAATATTCAGCGTGCTGAAAAATGGCTTGCTGGAAGACCCCTCAATGTGCACTCTTTCATCTTGCTACCTGGTTTTTATCCAATAATTCATGAATAAGTTTGGTAAACCTGATGGGGAGGGCCGATGGGGTATATATGAAGAGTGAGTGCAATTTTTTGCTGATTTGCTTGGAATCAATAAAACTTTGCTTGCAATAGAGTTGCTGAATGTTGTATATTGTCCATATTCTCTCATTGCAAAAGATCTGGTTATTTCTCCCTAGAAGGCAGCTTCTCCATTGTGCCAGGTAGATAAAAATTATTAATCTGGTAATAAAAGACATACCAGTTCAAGCCATACATCTGTTGTGCATGCATGCGACCCTAATAAAGTAAAAAGGGATAGGCCATATTTTGTCACACCAAGGTCCCCCAAAGCACCCTGGTGTCAGCTTTGGAAGCCATATTAGGCCGGAAGCTTCCATGCTGCCACTTTCTCATGTGTGGGAAAGTAGGAGGGGGTATTTAGTAGAGGGCTTGTCTGTAGACATAATAGCATTCTTCCTGTCGGTCAAGGTCAGGGTAATCCTGCATCTGGAGAAGGAGTGGTCGGAGTGATGTCTTGAGATGGGACGGTGGTTGATTGGAGCATGTGATCAATTGAGGATTGAGGGAATGGTTTTGGGGGTTTTGATTTACTGAGGGAAAGCCTGGACCTCTCAGATTTGGGTTTTTTCCCAGATGTGCCAGTTTACCTATTCTAGTAAATAGAACTTTGAAAAATGCTTGCTTCAAAGTCTTTACTTGGAGTTGGCTTTTTTTCTGGAACGCTGACATCTGGGGCTAGATTCTGATGATCCACTCTTGATTTGGAAAATGCATGAAAATTAGAATATTGTCTTCTGTTTTAAAATGAAACAAGCAAACCTAGTCACATCTACTTTGTGGCTCTCAGTCAAACTCCCAAAATGCACATGTATCCCTCTTGATGAATAAATAAGCTTACAATTCAGGGCTGCAAAACTCTGGACAATCACTGGATAGCAAAAAAAAAAGAAAAAAAGAACTAGAATTTTCTGTCTTCTGGATTTTTGGAGCCTAGGTATTGCTTTTGCTTATTTTCACCTTTCCCAATTTTGTACCCTCCCACTGAGTTGGAACTACAACTCCAAGCATGGCCAATTCTGCCTAGGGGTTCTGGGAATTATAGTTCCAGGGCTTAAGAAAACATCTCACAGGATGTTGGAAACCATGAAATCCCTATCACTGGATGTTTCCCAGAGGCCCATTTATGTTGCTAAAAAGGATTAGGGATATAGTACAATCTGATGTCACATAATCATGCAACGTAAGAAGCTACTCCTTTTCTGCTAATACAACTCTTAGTTGTCATTGGAGAATATATGACTATTCAAAATTAGAACTTTTTTGCTTTGCAATAAAAATCACTTCACAGTACCAGATGCCCAGATGGGTCTTTCGTACTGGATTTTGCTGTTCAGACTCCTAGAGTTAAGCAGTGAGAAATCTCAACCATTTATTCAATATCTTGTTTTTAAAGACTGGGACTAGTTTATTCATCAAAAAATGCGCTCTTAACTTTCATTGCTCTCTTCAAAAGCACTTTAGCGCTGTTTGTTGTGAAACGCTACTGTCATGAAAAGATTAAATGCTAATGGCAATGGCATATAATCTGTATTTATCTTAATTAGTAGCTGACAAAGAAGGAGGAGACAGGTTCTAAAATGAGCGTGGTCCCAACCCTGAATTTTCTTTCCAGATCAACAGGTTGTTGTAGTGACTTGCTCATAGAAATTTAGGTGGAGTTTTCTTTAGGGCCTTGGATCACAAAGCTGCGCTCTCTCCTCTCTGCTTTTCTTTCTTTCTTTTTCTCTTTTCCATTCACACACATTTTATTTACCCCCTGTTTTTTTCCCCCCCAGACTACCAAAGCCATTGCAGGAAGACCTTTTTGCTTAGCATTTAAAGTGACTGGAAAAAACCCAACAGCAAGATGGTTCAGTATGGTCTGGATTATACCCGCTGCAGATGGATCTTGCCTCTTCTGCTGGGCTTAGCAATGATCTTTGGCATCATTTCACTAGCTGGTTGGGGCTGGGTAACCTCACAAACTTTTCCGTTTGTGACTGAAGGCTCGTTATGGAAGTTATGCTCTTTGGAAGATGAACGGCGATGTACATCTCTAATGAATTTTGGTAAGGATCTTAGTGATGGAGACACTGTAAGGCAATTTGTGTGTGTGTGTGTGTGTGTGTGTGTGTGTGCGTGTGATACAAATTACACTAAGGATTTAGGGGCATCATATGCTTTATAACATTTTTGCACATGTAACTCCAAGTAGTTCTTCTCACTGTTATCATTACTTCATTTTTTCCCTCCAAATTAGAAATGCTTAGTAATGTGTTTTTTTTTAAAAAAAAGAAGGAATTGATTGTCAGACAGCACAGTTGTGCAAGTAGATGCTATAAAGACATACCTTCCTTTTTTTCTGGTTTATTTGTACTCTCAGGTTAGGGAATTTGCAGCTGTTATTCTTGTCTTGGTCAGTAGAAAACATAGCAACTTAAAATTTCGAAACTGATAATTTTGATTTTTTTTTTTTATTGGTGCCAGTCTTAAAGTCTAAGAAAATATTTGGGTGATTATATACAGTGACATAATAGGGTTAAATGATTATACCCAATGAATTTGTGTAGTGTTCAGTATTTCTGAAGGTATTGATATCAATGTTTCCAGCAGACACATTTTGGAAGCATATTAAATATGGTGTTCTCTTTCTGGAAATAGTGTTATGTCATGAACAGTTTTATTTTCTGGCTGCTCTTCGGTACAAAATATTTGAAGGCTGCACTGATTTTGTAGGGTGCAAGCCAAATAAAGTGAAATGAAGGATTTTAAAAAACCTTCAGCAATGAAGGGTTTAAAATGCTGTCAGTGAAAGATATTCTATTTATACTATGTAATAAGATTCAATCATTTTTGTGTAATAAGTTTCAATCACTTTTATAGAGTCAGTTATATTTTCATGTGTAGAAAATGTAAAACCCTCTAAGGGTTAAAACCCTAATGTAAAACTACATTTAAGTAGTTTATTTATTTTAGATTGGTAGGTGAAATCTGAGGAATATACCCAGGAATGTTTAAAATGCCATTCCAAGCAAAAATGCTGCACAAATAAAAGTGGAATATTTATCTTGTGTGCCGTGTGCTCTTTTCACCAAGCCATGGAATATGTTTCTTGAATTTGGGTCTCTAAAATCCCAATTAGCTTCCACCATTCATTGCCCACAGCTTTTCAATATGATCTTCTCAGCTTTAATATCTTTGTATAAAGATTTCTATTCTTTTACAAATGCTTTTATAAATTCTGAGCCGACTAATCTTAGCAAAATGTTTTTTAACATTTGACATGCCAAGATCGTTCCTGGATTTAATCTTGTATAGAACAATTCAGTATTATATGAGCATCTCAGTTGAAACAAATAAATAAAAAATACTCCTAAGTGTTTAGATGGTTAAGATTTAGATTCTACTACATTCCTTTCTCTGCTGCATTCTCAAGTTATTCCTGCTTTTATTGTATTTTTGGTCCAAAGAGATCGATGTCACTGTGGTTGTCAATTCTGCACTAATGGCAAGACATGAAAGAGATTTTATGAGAACCAGAATTAATTTGGTTATATGTCCCACAGTCATTCCTGTTCAAACAGGTTATTGAAATATTAAAATAACCCAGAAAGCCTTATTTAACAAAGATAAGGTGCCTAAGAGCAAAAGTAGCGATCCCTTTATCATATCTACCCTGTTTTCCCCAAAATAAGACATCCCCTGATAATAAGCCCAACTGGACTTTTGAGCACATGGCAATAAGGCCAAGTGCTTATTTCAGGGTTCAAAAAAATATAAGACAGGGTCTTATTTTCAGGGAAACACGGTATTTGCCTGGAAAAAATGAATGCCTACCACTGGCTTACTCTAAAACTGTAGCTGCTTTAAAACCAAAGAACACGTTCCATGAAATAATTACCCCCTCCTCCAATTATTATGGATGTAATAATTGGTGTTCACAAAGCATTTTGACCCATTTGATTTAGTTTAGCAGATCATGGAAATCCAGCTATTATGTTTGCTAAGCCATGGCAAATGCCTTACTGCTGTATATGAACCCATCCAATTGTGGTTTATTTGATAAGCCATTATTACATAAAACACAGATAAATGGAAGTGCTATGTATACCCTACCATACCTTCTTGAATAACTGAATGGTATTTTAGAGCTGTATCTTGCCAGGATGAGGCAAAAAAGGATGGAACCATTGTTTTCTGTTTTTATTTCCAGCTTGGGGTAGAGGTGCAGCTGGTACCTTCTTAGTTGGATTTGTACTCGTCTGCATCTGCTTTGCCTTGTCCATCATCGCCTTTGCCATCCCAACACTTCGCTTCAACTTCATTAGAGGCATAGGAGGCTTGTGTTTTGTTGCTGGTAAGGCTACATATCCAAAGCAAAAGAAGTATGGGTAGAATATTGTAGAATATGGCAGAGCATATTTGGTTTGGAGAGACACTAGCTATTTCTATGATGGTAAGAAAATAACTGTAAGTATGAAGAAAAGATTTACAGATACAGATTAGCAGAGTTGGAAGGGACCTTGTAGGTCATCTAGTCCAAACCCTCGCCCAGCAGACTTGATTTGTGCCATTTCACATTTTCCCGGGCAACTCAACAGAACAGCAGTATAGAAAGACCTCAACTTACAACCACATTTGTTAATTGAGTCAGGGCTCCAACATTATGATCAATTTTGCCAAATCACTGTGGTTTTTAAGTGGATCATGCAGTCGTTAAGTGAATCTGATCCCCCCCCCCTTGACCCTGCTTGTCAGAAACTGGCTGGGAAGGTCACAAATGATGATCACATGACCCTGGGACAGTGCAACTGTCATAAATACATGCCAGTTGATACACGCCCACATTTTGGTCACATGACCATGGGGATGCTGCAACAATCATAAATGTGTGAACTGGTCATTTTATTCAGTGCCATTGTAACTTTGAACAGTCACTAAATGAATGGTTGTAAGTCAAGGACTACCTGTATTTCATAAAAGCAGGCTAATAGCGATGATACTCTGTTATAATCAATGGAGAAAACAGTAGCATTATTTTTTTTTTTAAAGCACAAGTATTGTCTATTTCATTTTAAACTGGGGAACAAGACAATATCCGTATCCTGAAAAAGAGGGCAGAGGCGGAGAATCTAAAAAGAGCTTTTCCTAAATTCTTCTGAATTCATCACCAGCCTCTCCTTGTTTTTCTGATATATATATGACATTCTAGAACCCGGGCCCTTAATTTATTTTATTTTAGTTGATTCAAAAGCATTCTAAATTTCTGTTCACCCTGTGAGTAATTCTATATAAACATGACTCAAAAGTTATCTGTCATACATCATTGATATATAAATTTAAATATTAATTAAATTAAATTAAATTGTATGTTTACCTTCATTATTCTTGTGTAAAATTTGATTCAGAATCTCTCATCACCATTTCGGTGGTATTTCTTGTCAGAGCTTCAAACCTAAAAATAGGGAAAGGACTGCAGCTTAGTGGTAAAGAACATGCTTTGCTTCCAGTTAACCCTTAGCCTCTTTACCTAAAAATGGTCTCACGTTACAAGGCTGGATCTTATGATGCTGCCAAATACTGGACTGCTGTCTGATGGTATAAAACAGTTTAATTTAACCACAATATTAGATAGATTCGGCAAATAGAATACAAACTACCATAGGAGTAAGGTGCCGATAGGGCTCAGAATTCTCCCAAGGCCATTTTTAAAAACATACAATCCATTCTGTTCTCTTACTGTTTTCATGTGTTAGTAACTAATTTTTAATCTTTTTGTTTTTTTGCAGCCATATTCTCATTAATGGGCCTTGTCATCTATGCTGTAATGATTTCAACACGTGTGTCCTTCCCAGTAAATACCCTGCATGTGTTTGATTGGAGCTACGGATTTGGATGGACCATGTGTATCATGTCAATAGGTCTTGGATTCTTCTTTTGTTGTCTCCCCCTCTATGAAGATCATATTTTGGGAAACGTCAAACCTGAATTTTATTAAAATCTCCTATAAAGAGCAGCAGGGTCATCATAGGGAATCCCTGACTGTTTGGGGTCTAAAGAAGCATACAGGCATACCTACCAGCTCAAGTCCAATATGCAAGAATATTAGAATATATAGAGGTTTAGCAGCTCAAAAAAAAAAAAAAAGTATGAACGAGAATTGCTCTCAATTCTTGTTAATGTGGATTTGTTATTTTTTTAAAAAAACTTTTTTTTATGATTAGTTTTTACAGGGAAATAATAACTGAACTGCCTTAATTAAACATTCACCAATTTACAGTGTTTATTTATAATCAGTATTGACTTCCTCCTGTGGCCTCCACTATTCTGCAGGCTGCTCCCAACCTTTTGGGGGCACACTTTCAGGGGCAGGGGTTCAAAAGCCTGCAGAGGGTAAAATGAATTAATGGCAACAGCTATTCTGCTTCATTCCTTAGTGTGAGAGAAATCCTGCTAAAGCCTGTTTATATTCAATCCACTAGATAGATACACTATCTTTTTTTTTTTTTAAAAAAAGAACCTTCTTGATTGCATTATTACTAATAGTATAAGCTTGTCTTCTCCATCCTGTCAACTGCAGATGTGTTGGGATTGCAACTCTCAGAACTGGATGTTTAATTATGGTGGCTGAAAATTTTTGGAATCTTGTTGTTGTTCTAATGAAACATCAGTATTGAAGCACATGCTTTGTTTGCAAAAAAAAAATAAATAAATTCCAAATTTAGGCTATAACATTTTATTAACAATAATGGGAAAGTTGAAGCCAACATGGAAAACTTTTATATACCTGAAAGCATTATTAGCCAGAACAGACTGCATGAACTGCACAAATTGTTTAGTTAGGAAGAGGTTGGGAAGAAATTATGTTCCCACCCTAACTGAGAAAACCAGGAACCAACCTAATTTCTCCTAGTTTTAACAAAAATATTTTGCCTGCACATTTTAAAGGCAACTCTATGACATTCTAAACTTGTTTACAATAAACAGTAATCTCTTATTAGATGTTCTCAGATCTGCAAGCTGACCTTCAGAAGAGTTTGCTGAAGTTCCGGTTGTACTTTTGTATTAGCATATCTTAGTTTTGCCTACTTGTTTTAAAGTGTAAATACATAGCCTTTTGTAATGCATGGATGTATAATTGCCAAAATATGTTCCTTATTTTTTTTTAGAGGGGCAATTCTTTTGTAATATTTTGTTTATGTTCAGATGATGAAAGCAACACAATCTGTCATAACACTGAAAAGACAATGGTGCTTCATAGGCATAGAGAGGTCAGAAAATGTACATATATACATTATCTATTATACTAAGGGTCATCTGGTACTGATTTCTTTTGCCATATATTCTGACCTCTTACAGCAAGTGTGAGCAACTATGGCAACTGTATGACTTGTGGACTTCAACTCCCAGAATTCCTTAGCCAACTGGCTTAAAGTCCAGTTAAAGTCCACAGGTCATAAAGTCGCCACAGTTACCCACCCCTGCCCTATAGACTTGTTTCTTAATTCAAACCTTATTCCCAAGTAAAAATACATAAAGCTGTCATCTTAGATTGTAAACCGTAGGAATTGTGTAGTTTCCATGTTCTGCATAATGCTCAAGGTTTAATTAAAAGTTAAATCAATAGTTACAGTGGCAAGTTGAACTCAAAATCATCTATTGTGCTTTGGCATAATTTTCCATGTTTCTTAGCTGCATGCTCAAAAGGATGTGATATTATTAAAATTAGTTAATAAAACATTTTTGCCTGTTGTTTAATGAATAAAAGAATTTGTAGGGTTGGTATTAAATTCTATTAAATGGCTTAAAAATAAAAACAAACAACACAATCAACTTAAGTATGTGAACATATTGCTCTGATCAAATGACAGATGCAAATTTGTTGAAAATTGAGAAAATGGATTAGCACGCAGAGGCTATAATTACTGTTAAAAATTCAACCATTGCAAAAATGTGTTAGTATACTGGGCAGTTCCCTAGCAGAGCTCTAAACATTGACTGCTTAAGGCAAGACTGCGAAACCTGTGGGCCTTCACGGGAGTGAAGTGTTTTAAGTGTCTTAAATATAGCTCAGACCTGGGATCCCCCCTTCCCTTAGGAGATGAATAAAAAAAATTTAAAGCAGCAAAGAAGTATCTTTTGGCAAAACTCAGTATTGTTGCCAGTACTACCAGTATCAGAAAATTAAGGGAAGGTGAATATTATTTCAAGGAGGGACCCCAAAAACAGGTGGTTGGTAGTTGCATTCACTCTGTAAATCCTGATCCTAGTTTCTTAAATTGATTTATATCCTATAGGTAGATGCAGATTAGTTCTTTCTAAAGAACCAATTTTGCCCAATATCAATAGACACTGGATGGTTGGGTGTACTTAAATCTAGCCATCAAAACCTTTGTTGCCCTATAAGCTGTAGAAAATGTTGAAGATGTCTTTTCTGAGAAGAATAATGGGCTATAAGGTATTCCTTTTACCTGCATTGCATCCAAGCCCCACCTATTCCTTTCTTCAGCCTGTGAATTGCAGACTCTAACCCTGGAAACTATGCAGAGGATTTACAGTCTGCACTCAATCTCTAGTAGGGAGAATATCCCTCTACTAGGCAACAGGTTGCCCAATGACAGGGTTCACTAATGGGAATTTAAAAGCCTTAGGTCTTGAGCCTAGGAAACAAAATATGCTAACAAATAAGCTATACAAAAGACATATGTATGTATGTATGTATGTATGTATGTATGTATATATATATATATATATATATATATATATATATATATATATATATGGAAATTGATAGCAAGCAAACAGCACAGGGGCCTTGAAGAAAACAACAACAACAAGGGACACAATGGAACTAGGTTCTATATATTTAATGTATTGTAGAAGATTCCAAGAAACATTTTCCTTCTAGGAACTGATGAACACACAAGACATAGCAAAGAGTACCGTGTTTCCCTGAAAATAAGACCCTGTCTTATATTTTTTTGAACCCTGAAATAAGCACTTGGCCTTATTGTCATGCGCTCAAAAGCCCGATTGGGCTTATTATCAGGGGATGTCTTATTTTGGGGGAAATAGGGTAGCTTCTGCAGGATCTTACTGCTTTCATCAAAATTACGGAGTAAGTCAGAAGAGAAGTGGGAAGAGAAACAGGAGTTTTTTTTTCTCTGATGAGTGACATAGAACTGGCTCAGTGGCACTTCAGTCTGGTCTAGCTCATCACTTGCAAGTCAGGCAATCAGGGATATGAGTAGCTAGAACAATTTCCATGGTTCTTTTGTTTTTCCTAATGTACCCACCCTTTTCAGCTGCATCTCATATGCTAATGTGACAGTGATGATTAGACAGAGTAGGGCTTGAAGTGTGTGGGAGTTTCCAGTTGAGTTGAGCCATGGCAGCACCACCCTTTAGGTGAGTAGCACTCCCTAGTTGTATAAATCTCAGAAGAGAAATCGCTGCAGAACCATAAGGGGTACATAATACTTTGAAGTCATATTTATATGATCACCAAATGTAGTACATTATATTGTCACTGACAGAAAGTTGCATTGTACAAAAGGTAGCACATGAAAATATGATCAGCTTGGTTTAAATCCACTGGGAGTTCAGTCTGACTAAACTTAAAAACATCCACTAAATTATATGCAGGCACACGTGGACATAATTTTAGAACAGTGTGTTATAATTGGAATGCCATTTCCCTTTATATTATCTCTGAGGTGATTGGAGTGGGATAGAATAAAATTCTATATAAACTAAGAATAATAGTTAGAATAAAATTGTCTAAACTAAGGTTAATAATGAAAAGCCATTATTTCACCAATTAAAATTCAGATAATTATTTTGAAAGTAAAAGAAATAAACGCTGATAAGTTCTCCTCCTGGGACAATAGTGTTTTGCAGGGAAAGACGATAGAATTTTTTAAAATAAAAAAGATAGATCAAACAAATCAAGTGTCCTGCAGTATAAAGCAATAAAGAAGTGGGAGATGCTGTAAACTGGGATGGGTTTTTCTATGTGAACAAAGTGGTGTGATGTATCTGCCCAGGCATGTATGTCAACTCTCCCATAGACACTCCTAAGGTGTGGCATTTATTCATCTAAAGCCTGAGCCAAATGAAACACATTCAATTTTTGTACCACATAACCAGTCAGAATAGTTGCATTTGTGAAGCTGCAGTTTACAGACACAGTACTGTATTGAATAGAATAGAATAGAATAGAATAGAATAGAATAGAATAGAATAGAATAGAATAGAATTTTTTATTGGCCAAGTGTGATTGGACACACAAGGAATTTGTCTTGGTGCATATGCTCTCAGTGTAAGTAAACAGTAAAAGGCTGTTAAACTTACAGTAGATAGTTACAATTGAGAGTGGGTTTACTTAGGTCTAGACACAAGTGACAAATGGAGAAAAGCAATACAATTTTGATGAGGAATTCAGTCACAGAGGTGCTGAAATCATTTCTTTCTTTCCTTTCTTGGCTAACCAGGATCTTAAGGCACCCAGATGAAACATGAGCAGAACAAGGGTGGGATGAGGAATTGAGCAGGACTGAGACAAAGAAGAGGATAATGTAGAAAAGAAACATGAGGGATGACTAAAGACTTACTTAAGAGAACTATGCTGTAGTACACTCTATTGCAATCTATTATGCTACAGTACACTTCTATCAGGTTCTTGTGCTGTACTTATTAGGGCTAACACTATACTGTATTGGTGCATATTGTATTGTGATTTAGAAAATTATAGCAGATCATATTTTCATTTGTTACCTTTTGGACAATGAAACTCTCTTGTCAGTGACCATATAATATACTACATTTGGTGATGTATACATTTGGTGATCATATATGTTTATTTATTTAGAACTTATATAACTTGGGCAATTATCTCCCCTTCCCCATTCTATTATTTATTTTAAAAGAGTTTAGAAAATAGTGCATGGTGAAAGCCAAATACTAAAGACTTGAATCAGCATAAAAAGTTTCTAGAAGAGATGTTAAAACTTGTAGTGTGCTTTTGCCTTAAGCTAGGGCTGGAAGAAGCCACACCTCGGTGGATGAGACTTCCAATAAGCAACACTTTTCTACCGTGTACTTGGAAGCTATTCTCTGAAACTGCTGGGAGGCACTAAAAAAATTGCAAGGGAAGCCATGCCAGCATAGAAATCAAAGTTACAGGACTCTTTCCCATGATAGAACAGCAATGTTTTAGAAGCTGTGTAATTACGTATAAGAACCACACCCTGTTTGGGGCCTGTTTTTCAGTTAGCGAGCAAACTTTCCTAACTGGTTATTACACAAACCTATACAACATGAGTTAGATTTATTCTGGGGAGGAGGATCGGGGGTGGGGATCAGGGTTTGAAGCACCCTATTGGTCTAATGCAGTATTTCTCAATCTCAGCAATTTTAAGGTGTGTGGACTTCAACTCCCAGAATTCCCCAGTCAGCATGCTGACTAGAGAATTCTGGGAGTTGAAGTCCATACAACTTAAATGGCTGACATTGAGAAACTCTGGTCTAATGTGAGGCCATGTGGGCAAGAGGAACAATAACAATAATAAAGCAGATGATAGTCATAAAGAAGTGTCAAAAACCCTGGGGGTTATACAGTATATTCACAATTTGAAATAGATCAAATACTTTGATGCTATGGATACTAGGAAATTAATCATAAATATGGATTCCTGAGATGTTTTATATTGCAATTAACTAATTTTGTTTTAACTTAAAGTGGTGTAGACAGCCTCTTTGGTATAGTAGTAGTAGTATAGTAGTTAAGGCACCAGGCTAGAAACCATGAGACCATGAGTTCCAGTCTCACTTTGGACACAAAACCAGTTGGATGACCTTGGGCCAGTCACTCTGTCTCAGCCCTAGGAAGGAAGAAATGGCAAACCATTTCTGAAAAACCTTGCCAAGAAAACTACAGAGACTTTTCCAGGCAGTCTTCAAGAATTGGACACTATTGAACAGAAGACAAAAAATAGTGTGAAGAAAAGAAATGATTTAAATATAAGATTACTCTAATATTCCTATAATGTGAAGGATAGGTAGGACACAACTGAATGGATATATCATCATCATCATCACCACCACCACCAGCATTAAATAAGCTGGAGAGACCATACTGTTCTTTGCAGCTTCACAAATGCAACTATTCTGTTCTTTGGGATATCCTACTGCAGTTTTATTTTTTCATTACAAGGCTGAAGCAAAAGGTAATGTCTAAATCAATTGTGAGGTTGCTTTCCTCACTGAATCCTATTCTTACTGAACTACTTCTTCAAGCTCTATCTTCCATCTTCATTTCAGAGATAATGAATTTATCTGACTTCTGCACTGAACCTAGTGACTCATAGCCCTCTCCACATGGGTGCTTGAGATGAGTAAGTTTGGAGAGATGGGTGTTATTGTTATCTGGCTTTGACTGATTAAAATGTTTCTTGCTTACATCAGTAATGGATAATAGTACTCAGCCTTTTAAATCGGTAAAAAAGTAGGGTCTTCTTTTCCTGCAAAGGGCCAAAAGAAGCAACAGCATTTGCTCACTGTTGCTGTGAGTAAGCCCTTGGTTGGACTCTGGTCACTGCCAGGTAGCAATACTGACAGTTGCAGATTTAGTTCAACCTGGTTTACTGGTTCTTTAGCTTGGAACCACATCAGAATGTACAATGAGACCGAAGATAAGGGTTGTTTATTTATTTATTTAACCGCCCTTTGAAAAGACTCATGGCCAACAGTAGA